CCTTCCCCCCCCCCAACCCAACCAGGGCAGAGCTAATGACTGAAGTTGTCTTTAGGCCATTCCAAAGGGGGGGGGGGATATTATTAACGTGGTCTAATGCACAGTAGAATTGTACATGGGCGGAGTTATCAAGGCCATGTTCATACAGTGCAGGTACAACACGGGGAACTGCTGCTTTTTCTTTCCTCATCCTTACTATTGTCATTTTCCTCTACTTCTTTTGTATGTTTGTCACACTCTTGGGATCCACTCTTTCCGGGGTGCCTTGATAGTCGAAGCAGACTTTGTGCTGTTGAAGCTAGAGAGGTGAGCAAAAGGACTTCTCTGTTGACATCCACCCCTTGGCGCTCATATGACCTAATGCACTTGCGAGCGCCGCAAAACCTCTACTACAACAAAAACATTTTTACTTTCGTTTTTCCTTTACTTCTTTTGTGTGTTTGTCACGCTCTTGTAGACTGCTATTTTCGGAGTGCCTTGATAATAGTCGAAGCAGACTTTGTGCTGTTGAGGCTAGAGAGGTGAGCAGAGTAAGCCTGATTCCCCGTTTGGACTACTCTGTTGACATCTACCCCTTGTCGCACTTATGACTTTATGCAGTTGAGAGCACCGTAAAACCTTAATAAAACGATTTTTTGCAAGCCACCAGTGACTGAATAGAGATGGGAAGATACTTTGCTGCCTGTCGTGTTTTACTGTTAGGACAACGTTAAAAGTACCAACCGTTGTGGCTGTGGCAGGAGAAACTAAACAGATCTCTAGGTGTGGTTGGTGGGTGCTCTGGTGTGGTTTGCTCCTTTCTCAAACAGCTGTCGTCCTTATCTCCCCTTCCTTGTGTTTTGTGTTTGTTACTCTGGGGGGGTTCTGTAATGGGATTTCCTCACACTGAAGAAATATATATGTATTTTTGCAATGCTTCTGGTGGTTAGACCTCGATGTTAATCCTTAGGTGGGATCCGTCCCTCGCTACTTTCCATTGAAAGGGGAAGAAGTGAGTCAGTCAGGGGCAGGACAGCGCAACCTGTCGCCTGAGTGTGTGTGTGTGGGCGGGTGTGTGAGGGTGGTGAGTGTGTTGTTGGTCGCTGTTCTTCTACAAACCAGCACGACACATTGATAAAGCGTTATGTCTATCTAGGCCCAGGCTATTTTGTAGTACAATGTAGTATATAAGTTTTAGAGCATAATATCTCATAGAGTATATATATATCTAAGAGCCTAGAGTGTATCTCCTAGAGTATAATATTTCAAAGAGTAATCCCCCAGAGTCGAAGAGTATGTTCCCTAGAGTATATCTCCTAGTAGAGTATACATATATCTCCTAGAGTATACGTGTATTATTACCCTCCAGAGTCCTAGAGTATATATCTCCTAGTAGTACTGTGTACATATATTTCCTAAAGTATGTCCCAGAGTATATCTCCTAGTAGAGTGTAACATCTCTTGGAGTACATCTCCTAGTAGTAAAGTAATAATACATAATATATATCTTCTGTTACAGTAGCATACATATATATCTCCTAGAGTCTCCTAGTAGTAGAGTATACATCTCTCATAGAGTAGGCTATATTATTTCCTAGTAGAGTATAAAGGTACAGACACAGTGGATCGATCGGCCTTTCACCCCCTTTCGCCAACCCCCCCCCCCAAATGTGAGAAAAGGGAGGCGAATGGGAAGGCACCCGAAGCGACAGAACGTGGATTCGCCCTCCTCCCCTCACCCTTTTCTTATTTATTGCTCTGAGAAGCTGATGTTGCTGCCTTAGTTAAAATGAAGGTGTCAAATTTCACCTTGATAATTGGGTTCATAGATTCAACGAACTACGAAAAACGTTTACTTTTTGCAAATATCATCATTTAGTGGATATGTTCTTAGAAATGACGATTTGAAAAAAAATCTTATCTGAAAATTAAAGCTGCTGCATTCCCGGCTTCTCCTTGATAAGATTGGACCTTACGTAAAACAAAAGCAACAAATTTTCTAAAAAGGTGCCAGACAACACACAAGCAATACCACTCACTATGTAGGCCTACACAGTGGGAACGAACGAGGCGAATGAAGGCGAATAAGATTTAAAGTAAAGGGCAGACCTTAGTTGACGATCCCTCACTTCTTTTGCCCTATGGGGGAGTGAAGCCAAAGGGACGAACGAAAGGCGAACTCACTGTAGCGCACGCAACGCATTTGTTGAAAATTGTTGTGATTAAAAACAACATTCGCCCAAAAAAAAAAAAAGGGAGGCGAGATGGATATCACCCAAAAGGTGGGGAATGCGAATCCGCTGTTGGCACGTTAACATTTCCTAGAGTATATCTTCTAATAGTAGAGTATACAAATAGATCTATGTCTCCTAGTAGAGTATATTAATATATCTCCAAGAGTATATCCCCTAGATCTAGTAGAGTGTACATATCTCCTACAGTAGGCGTACTACGAACTCATTAGGATGAGATAACCAGTCTGAGGTCAGGGGTTAGATGCCTTGGTTTCGTCTCCGGTGCACTACATGTATTGAGAATCACGTATGACGTAGATTTACTTATTAATTTACGTTTAAAAGAAAACTGTACACACTTACACACACATACATACACACATACACGCACATACATACATACGTACATACATACATACATACATACATACATACATACATACATACATACATACATACACACACACATACATACACACACAAATACACATAAAGACATACACACACTCTCATACACACACACACACACGTACACAATTACTCATATATACACACACATATTCACACACATACACACACACATTACACGGACATACACACACATACATACACACGTATACGTAAACA